TGTACTTGTCCCCTCAATTTCTGTGCAGACCTCCTTCAGCCACCAGTGGGTGTGCAGGGTGCGCTGGGGGGGGGGGGAATATATACACCTGAAATGATGCTCCAGCCCCAGGCACCATAATTACCCTACAATTCCACCGTCTCCCCTCAGTGCATTGGACACCCCTCCTCTCGTCCATCTCCACGGGCCGGGGCAGCGTTGTTACCCCTACCGCTCGTACTCCGACTACTCTAGTTTTAAATGTCTCACGCAATGGAGTGTCTTTCCCTTGTCCTTGGAAGTCTGTTCCACGGCCCATTACAGCTCGCCATTTGGAAGTTCCTGCTGATATTCAACCTAGATTCTCCTTGGCTAATTGTTCATAAATCTTCCTTTCTACGAGGGCTTCTTGCTCTTGGTTTAACTAGCAACAGCGCTCTTGGGACGAACAAACTGGTGTCGCGGGGGTTATATTGCTTTCTGTAAATACATCTCCCTTCCAATGGTTCTTCTAGTCCTTCATTTTCTACCTGTGAGAAATTCCTACTGTACTAGGGTTGTCATTTAAGCGCAGTTAATTTTGTTTTCCGTTAATTGCAGGCATTAAGACGTTAATTTTTTCGTCAATTAATTGTATAAGTCTGGGCGGGGAGGGAGACATTGGTGGGCGGGGTGGAGGGGGCAGCATGGGGCTAAAGCCCCAGCCCAGAGTTCGGGGGGGAAAAGTGCTGAAATCCCAGCCCACAGCTCTGCCAGCAGCCGGGGAGGGGGGGCTGAAGCCCCAGCCCTGGAGCCCCAAGTGGGGCTGGAGCCCAGAGCCCCACACCCTGAGGGGGGCTGAAGTCTGGAGCCCCACGCCCCAAACCCCCTACCCTGAGTGGAGCTGAAGCCCTAAGCCCCTCGGGGCTGAAGGTGTGTGTGTGTGGGGCGGTCACACTTTTTTTAAGTCCAAATGGGGTCACCAGCACAAAAGACTTGAGAGACGCTGCCATAGAGAACAGGGGCCTGGCGAGCTCAGCCTCTCTGCCTCAGCCTCTCCTCACCGGCCGCATGCAGAGTCCCGGAGGTAAAATCCACCCTCCCTTCCAAACAAGGGCTCGCTCAGCTGAAGGGAGTTATGCAAATATCGTAATCGTTCATTTGTAAGTTCTCCTTGCATGATAAAGATTGGACTGCAATATGTGAACGAGGTGAATTGAAATGATGTTTCTTCTGTTTATCTTTCTTACGGTGCAAATATTTGTAATCAAACTGAATACTATAAAGTGAGCTCTGTGTGCTTTGTATTCTGTGTTGTAATTGAAATCAACATATTTGCAAATATAGAAAACCCCCAAAAATATCTTTTAAAAAAGGATTCTATTATTGCTTAACAGTGTGATTAAAACTGCAGTTAATCACAATTAATTGTTTTAATTGCTCGACAGCCCTAATTCCTCGATAATGAGTCAGACCAACCGTAGCACCCACCGGCCCCAACCAAGAGCAGCGCCCCCTTGCACCAAGCACCGCACAAGAACAGAGCGAGATGGCCCCTGCCCTAAAGGCAGTCTAAATAAGACAAGGCAGACAGACCACGGAGGGGAAAACAGAGGTGAAGTGACTTGCCCAGGATCACACAGGGAATTAGTGGCAGGGCTGGGAATAAAAGTCAGGTCTCACGATGCCCCGCTTGCTAGCCCATGCTGCCGCCCCTGGTCTCAGCAGTGCTGGGCTAGAGGGTTCCTTCGGGTCAGCTGCAAACCCCACTCTCTCACGCTTGTGGTTTTGTCCCGAACTCTCCCAGCGAAGCTCAGATTTCAGCAGCTGGTTCGCTCTCACGTTTGTGCTTTTTGACCACCTCATTCTTGCTCAAGGCACGAGGCTGTCAATCTGATGACCTCCTAGTGGCTCCGGAGCCCATCTGGCGTAGGCCCCAATCCTGTGAGCTCTCCCAGCCCGTGAGATGTTGAGCTCCCCCCAGACGCTCAGGATGGGGTTCACAGAGCCTAGCATGGCGGTGACGTTATCCTGCCCACTAACCACACAGGCCCCATGCCAGCAGGGCTGGCCAGAGCACAGTCGCAGGGCAGACCACACATCTGTGGGCCGGATCCAAGTCACCGCGGCTCCAGCAGGAATGGCTTTGACGCAGGGCGTCTGGCCCCGCTTGCTCTCTTGCGTCACTGACGGTGATTCTCAGACACTGGAGTCGTAACTCCCCAGAGGACCTTCCGCCTCGACCCGGTGTCTTTTAGATAAACAGTTATTGTTAGCACGACAGCGTGTCCCGGCCTGACGCGCTCCAGGGGCACGGTCCGCCTGTGGGAAGCAGCCGCCAGCAAACCTCCTGGGACAAGGGGATTGAGCTCTTCCCAGTCTCCCCCGTCCCCCTGCTAACGGCCGATCCTTGGCTGCCATTTTGGTCACCTTGCTGGTTCCTGTACCTGGCCTGGCAAGACAACTCCTCCCCCATCCCTTCCCTGCTCCAGTCGCACTCACTGGGAGGCCGGCCCGAGTCAGGCCTCACTATTGGCACTGTGTGTGTTCAGCGCAGCTCCTGGCAAGCGCTCGGGGCACCCCTGTGTCGCAGAGCACAGTCCCTCTGCCAAGGAGGGGAGGCAGTTAACACACGCTCCAGCCCCATGGCACTTGATAGATAAGGAGCCAGGGCCTGATTCAACTCCCATTGCAGTCAATAGGCTCCCATGGAAGTCAGTGGCAACTGGAGCAGACCCTTCTCTGGGGATCTAGTTACTCTCTGCCAAGATTATGCTGCCTGTCATCCCGTTATATGCTCTTGTGGCATTTGTATCCATGGCCTGTTCCAAGAAGAAAGCTGTCTGTCCATGTTAGGAGGACCTGTTATTGTTACAGGATCTAATCATTTCTGGTTCACATCATACTAACCCATCACCATTGGACTGTTTACTCCCATTGTTGTTTGCAGTGTTGTAGCCATGTTGGTCCCAGGATACTAGAGACAAGTTGGGTGAGGTGATTTCTGTTATTGGACCAACTTGTGCTGGTGAGAGAGACACGCTTCCGAGCTACGCAGAGCTCTGCTTCAGGTCTGGGAAAGGCACTCAGAGCATCACAGCTAAAGGGTGGAGCAGCTAAGGAGTTAACACATGTTGCAAGAGACCATTCAAGTTGAAGTGGGCAGGTGGTACTTCTACAGTCAGAGGCCAACAGAGGAGTTAGTGGGTTACAAAGTTTTGTAGTGAGCCATAAATCCAGTGTCTCTATTAAGTCCATCGTTTTTGGTGTCTAGCAGAGCTATGGATTTAAGCTCCCAGGCTTGTCTTTTGAAGGCGTTGTGCAGGTTTCCTTGAAGGACGAGGACTGAGAGGTCAGATATGGAGCGATCACTTTGTGAAAAGTGTTGGCCCAGGGGTGAGAGGGTGTTTTTGCCTTTAATCATTTTCCTGTTTGAGCTCATTCACGAGCGGAGTGATTGTCTGCTGTCCCCCACACAGTTGTTATTGGGATGTTTAGTGCACTGGATGAGGTGCGTCACACGTGGTGATGGACGTTTTTAGGACTCATGGAGCTTGAAAGGTGTGTTGGGGGTGGGGTATGGAACATCGTAGCAGTTGTGATATTTCTGCAGGTTTTGCATTTGAGGTTAAGGCAGGGACTGGTGCCACTTTGTGTTGGTGGGTACTGGTCTGTGTGGAGCTGGCTCCAGATGAGACTGGGGGGTTGTTTGACGGCCAAAAGAGGCCACAGTGTAGACGGGGCACTGAGATCTTCCCTGGATGGTGCCTGGGTTGGGTGCAATGAGTGTAGCATGCCAGTGCTGTTAATGCACTGGATAAGCGTTGTCACAAGGCAATCATAGTGAGCCATGGCCAGTTCTGGGACATTTTACACTAGGTAGCATCTTCCATAAGTGCGCTGTTTACCATTGCTTATTGGGGACCGTGTTCTCACTTGTCTGTAGCTCAGTTGACTTCAGTGAAGCGATGCCGCTGCTGATTTATGCCAGGTGAGTGTTTATATTACACTAGCGCCCAGAGGCCCGGGTCGGGATCAGCCACCCACTGTACCGAGCCCTGAGTGAACACAGAGGTAGACACAGTCCCTGCCCCTAAAAAGTCTAAAATCTAGCTCTCCCAAAGGGCTTTATACACTTGAATGAACTGCTTGGAGAGCGGGATAATACAGTGGAGGGGAAGAGATGGAGACATGTTTTCAGAGGCATGGCGAGATGGCAGCAGCTGCAAGGGAGAAGGCACTTGAACCGACAGGGCAGCAACGGGAAGGAGAAGGATTGTCGTGTGGTTAAAGCACTGGATTGGGATCCAGGATAGCTAGGTTTGATTTGTGGCTCTGACACAGACTCACTGCATGGCTTTGGGCAACTAATTTAATCTCTGTCTGTCTCAAAGCCCCATGGAGAGCTAACCCTTCCTTGCTCCCACTTTTTGTCTCTCGTCCATTTTCATTGGCTGCGCCTCGGTGCAGGGACTCGCTGTGCATGTGTACAGCACCTAGCACAATGGGGCTGTGATCTCGTGTGGGGTCTCTGGGGGCCAGAGTGGTATTAATACATCATGAGGGGAGGGGAGGGGAGGAGGCTGGTGCTAGATGAATGGGGAACAGAACGGGAAGAGACAAGGTCCATGAAGGATATTGAAGCGAGAGGGGCAATTCTGTGCAGTCTGGGGCTGGGTGATAATGTAGAGAGGTGGGGCAGACAGGAGAGCAGCCTCACTAAATCAAGACGGGAGGAGACGCTATGCTTTGGCTCCGCACGTAGTTCTGAGGTCAATGCAGGAATCACTGGGTGAAATCCTCTGGCCTGGGCTACGCAGGAGCTCAGCCTTAGATGATCACGTTGGTGGCCTTCAGATCTATGAGCTGGACCTTGAACTGAATGAAGGGCCAGTGGGGTCATTTGTTGGATAGGGGTGATGTGCTTGTGCTCCTTGGTCCAGGGCTAGTTTGGTGTCAGCATGGCTATTGTGCGTGCCGGGGTATCGACGGTTCCTGGTGAGGAACAAGTTCCTGACTCTCCCATTCTGTTTTGCTTGCAGGCTCTTCTGCTCCGGAAGGCCTGCTGGGTCTAGGCTGAGCCCGGCATGGAGATGGAGAACCATACTGTGGCTGCGGCGACGAACTCCTGCACCTTTCATGAGGAGTTCAAGCAGATCCTGCTGCCCCTGGTCTACTCTGTGGTCTTTGTGGTGGGGCTCCCCCTGAACTTCATCGTCATTGTGCAGATCTGGCTCTCCAGGAAGGTGCTGACCCGCACTGCCATCTACATGCTGAACCTGGCCACGGCCGACCTGCTGTACGTGTGCTCCCTGCCGCTGCTCATCTACAACTACACGCAGAAGGACTACTGGCCCTTTGGGGACTTCACCTGCAGGTTCGTCCGCTTCCAGTTCTACAGCAACCTGCATGGCAGCATCCTGTTCCTCACCTGCATCAGCGTCCAGCGCTACCTGGGCATCTGCCACCCTCTGTCATCCTGGCACAAGAAGAGGGGCAAGAGGTTTACCTGGATGGTGTGCGGCGGGGTATGGGTCATCGTCATCGCCCAGTGCCTGCCCACCTTCGTCTTTGCCTCCACGGGCATCCAGAGGAATAGGACCGTATGCTACGACCTCAGCCCCCCGGACCGCTCCGCCAGCTACTTCCCCTACGGCATGACGCTGACAGTCACGGGGTTCCTCATCCCCTTCGTCTTCATCCTGGTGTGCTACTGCTGCATGACCAAGATCCTCTGCCAGAAGGACGAGATGATAGGCCTGGCCGTGCGCAAGAAGAAGGACAAGGCCATCCGGATGATCATCATTGTAGTCATCGTCTTCGCCATCAGCTTCTTCCCCTTCCACCTGACCAAGACCATCTACCTGATCATCCGCTCCTTGGCGGGCGTGCCCTGCCTGGTCTTGCAAACCTTTGCCATCGCCTACAAGTGCACTAGGCCCTTTGCCAGCATGAACAGCGTCCTGGACCCCATCCTCTTCTACTTCACCCAGCGCAAGTTCCGGGAGAGCACACGCCACCTGCTGGAAAAAGTGAGCTCCAAGTGGAGACACGACACATGCCGCACCTACAAGTCGTAGGCTCCGGGGAAAGAAGAATGAGGGGGGCCTGTTCTGCTGCGCGGAAGCAGAGGACTGAACGGCTGTGGCTTTATTGCAGCCAGCCCTGCTTTACCCAGCAACAGAGAGAGAGAGAGCAGGAGGCAAGGACTGATGGTCCTGAGCATAGAGCTGGGAGCCAGGAGCTTCTGAGTTTACTCCCAGTTCTGGCCATGGGTGGGTCACTGGGCCTCTCTGGGCCTCTGTTTACCCATCTGCAGGATGGAGAACAATATTCTGTAAATAACAGGTAAAATGATGCTGACCTACCACACCTTGGTCAGGGCCTGGAAAGTGCTTTGAGGCTGGACCATGCTAAGAACAGTTTATCCTTAAAATTCCAGCAAATGGCCTGAGCTGGGAGAGGTTCCAGAACAGCTGGAAAGAGGGAAGTGAAAATAATTGGGAGCAGGTTTTGGGGCTGGGCTAGGTGGTGTCCGAACGCAGTATTAGAACGGCTACTGTGGTGCACCGCAGCTGTCACCTTTGAGGAGGAGCGGGGCTTTTTGCGGATCTGCTGCTCGCTCTGTGGATTTCAGCAGGACCGCTGAGGGACTGGCGGTCCTTGCCACAGATATCTGACTGGCAAAGCCCTAGCAACCGCGCGTGGGGTTTTGTGGGGAATTGTGCTTCTGACGCTGATTACAGTGGGCTCCACTCCGCGCCACTGGAGTTGCAGCACACCTGGGTTTGTCCCAACGTGTTTCATTCAGAATGAAGTTTCCAGTAGATTTGGGAAATCAGTTATTAGCAAGTAGTTCAGTGCTTCCTCTGGTTTACAACTACCTAGATTTGGTGGACAAAAATCTCTCCTCCATGTCAGTTCCCTAGAGAGGAGATCACCTCTGAGAACTAGCCGGTCGGGAATAGGGGAATCAACTGCTACTTGCCAGTGCACAAATTACTGGGATCTGGTCATCTTATCCACCAGCCAGTGTTTTTTCACTGCTTTGCCACAGTAACTCAGCTGAGTTTCCCAAGCAGAAAGCTGCTTTACTAATGCAAGGAAAACCTACACTGGGAATTTAGAGACGACAATAGGTCTCTTGGGACCACATGAGTCTACAAAAGGATTGATCCACATGGGAGGGCAGGAAAAGGGAAATCTAGCGAGTACATCTACAGTATTATTGGCTGTTAACAATGAGGACACAATCATTAAGCTAACCTGACTACAACAGTCTGATTCAATTTTATCTAGGTCGTCTTACAACTCTCATCACCGTAATATCTGAGCACCTTACAATGCGATCTTCCTGGTTTCTACTGCTTAAAGATTCATAAGTTGCCTGACTGGATCTAATAGGGCTCGGGTGTATTTTTATTTTGTTTTATTTTATTTTATTTTTGGGCACCCTCATTATAAAAGAATTCTCACATCATCTCCAGCATTTTGAGCGAAGATCTAGTTCATGGGCAATTTAATCTTGTGGGGTTTTTTAAAAAAGGAACTAGACACCAGAATATTTTTAAAGAATTTCTAATATAGCTGCAGTGGTTTTATGATACGCTGGTTTAGTGTGTATGAGCATATCTCCCTCTAGTGGCAGATCCTAGATATAAGACTGCTATTTAATTTCGCTCATGCAATAGAGACCCGTGTTTTTGAATATCACAGGTTCAGTCCCCACTGGAGTTAGCATCTGCATGGCTACATCTCATGACAGGCTGCACTGGGCTTTTTAAGCAAATCAACTCTGTTGTGACACATCACTGAATAACATTTAATTTAGGGGTGGGAGTGGAAGAAATGATTGGAATGATTGTCAATGCTTACGCCTGAGATGGTTCTTGATTAGCAGCAGAAACTAACCAGTGAGTATGGACAGGGTATGAAATAAGAATTGAAGAATTTAACTGAACAAAGGTGGAGTCAACATACTGGGCCAAAGCTAGCCCTGGGGTAATCTAGCACACCGCAGATAAAATCACTTTGAAGTTTGTGGAGTTGCATCTGCTGACAGTGGGGGTGAATTTGATGCAGTGGGGAAGTGTAGGTGCTGTATCTTCCCGTGCTGGGTGCATCTGAAATCAGCGTTGAGACAAGTAGCCAGACCTCTCCTAGGCACTACTCTGAGCAGTGAGGTGGCATCTGTCGACCAGCACTGTCACGTCATAGCCACTCGTGACATTTGTCCTCTGAGCTGTTTACGGGACGTCTGCCACATTGGCCTATATACCAGGGATTGATCCAGGGATCTCCAGAGCTAAAAGCACAAGCACTTACACCATGAGCTAAGGAACCTAGCCCCTCTTGTGGGCAGCTGTAACAGCGTCTATCGCTGCGGGTGAGCACAGCAGCGGACCAGATATACCCGCACCAGTGGATGACACTTACGCCACACCTGGTGGACTTGTGTCCACACAGCAGCTATGTTCCCAACACAGCCACACTCTGCTTCATTTAACCTGACTTCTACTGATACCATTTGCTTTTCCCTGTCTCAGTGCACCAGATGTGCTCATCTTCCTCTCTACCCCGACCTACCCCTCCTCTTCTCCAACCAACCACTCCCATGGGCCGGGGGTAATGGAGGCTGGGGGACGCAAACTTCTGCTAATGCTCCCCACTGCAGCCCTGGGCCTGGGCCATTGCAGGGCTCAGAGCTCCTCTGGGGAGCCTGGGCTAAGGATTCAGCCCAGGCCAGCTGCGGCTCAGAGCTCCTCCAGACTGCTCCAGGCTCCAGCAGGCTGTCTGGGGCTCAGGGCTGTGCGAGCGGGCCGGCCAGTGAGAGCAGGGTGGCGGAAGGGGCCTCAGGCAAAAGGGGAGGAGGGGGCAGGGCCTTGGGCAGAAGAGGCAGGGCAGGGGGCTAGCCTCCCCAAACGGGAGTTCACGTGCCGCCCATGGCCAGTCCCTTCCAGGCCTCACACCTCTCCCAGTCTCATCCCCCCGGCAGCTCCATCTCTCTCTCCAACCATAGAATCCCAGAAGTGTAGGACCGGAAGATGACCGTGGATGTTTTGAGAGGTCATCTAGTCCTGTCCCCTGCACTCAAGGAGGGACGAAGTAATAACTCGACCATTCCTGACAGGTGTTTGTCTGACCTGCCCTTAAAGCCTTCCAGTGATGGTGCTTCCACAACCATTGCCATGAGCAGCACTCTAGTCATTTGCACTGAAGAATAATCCCACTTCCCCGACAGGAGCTTCTTTCCCATGAAGCTTTGCACATAGCTCATTTGCATAATACTCTTCACTGTAGTCCTTTGTGACAAAGGCTGTGTCGCCATCTGTGTTTGTACAGCACCTCTCACAGTGGGGCCCCGAATGAGACTTTGGGGGACTTCCGAAATCCAAATGAATAGTATAATGTGAATCCACCCCGACCGCACTGTACCAGTGCATTGTGGGAAAACTATCCCATAGTGCCTCAGTAGGCGATAGCGTGCCCAGACTGGCACCAGCAGCATGTGCAGCAATGCCTTCTGGGATGTCCTACCACACACACAGCTGGGAGGGAGCAGGCCGGGCCAAGCCAGTGATGCAAGCCTGGTGTGGGGGTACCGTGGACACTGCAAAGGTAACATTGTGCCAAAGCAGTTCTAGGAAAGCATCCACGGGCTGGACTAGGGTTCAGGTAGCGATGGAACTGCTGCCATGGTTGCTAACCAAGTGTTAGCGGTGGAGGCAAGCCAACCAGGCCACTGCCTGGTTACAGATGCAACTAGAAGTTGTACTATGGACGTTGTAAGGTCGAAGGCAAAGCATCCACTGAGCCAACAGGTGACACGTGCCCTCATCCACACACACAAATCCCGCAGGGTGTCCATCGCTGGAACTCTTAGCCATTCACTGGACACTACGGCTGCAAACGCTAGATCTGAACTACCAGTTCTTGCCCACCTAAAGCTCCCACTGAACCCACATTGGACCTTACCTAGGGGGAACGGAAAGGCTAAACCGCCACCATCTGGTGCATGTGTTTTGAGACGCTGTAGAGGGACTTTGTGTGGAGTAACCGTGGCGTTACCAGCTGGTCCCCAGATGTAAATCTACAGTCCAGAATTCACCTTTCGGTACAGGCGCTGACTTGTAATTTTCCCCAGGGTGCTCCACCTCCACTCTGCTCCTCCCCTCGAGATCCCACCCTCGCTCCTCCTCTTCCAGCCCCCGCTCCAACCCCTCCCCCGAGGCCCCCGCCTGCTCACGGCTCTCTGCCCTCCCACTAGTGCCTCCCCCAGCCTCAGAACAGCTGATCGGCAGTGACGCTTGAGCCCCAGAGCACCATAATCGGTGCCTATGCCTTTAGGGCTGACCCAAAGCCCAATGACATCAGTAGGAAAAACTCCCATTGACTCAATGGGCTTAGGATTGGGGCATTTCTTCTGGTTGATCCTGGTGTCTGAAAAGCTCCTAGGGAGAGTGCTAATGCAGCTATTTGGCCTGGTTATCAGGCCTCCTTCTCCTTGGTGGAGATCACTGGGTTTGACCGACATTTGCTTGAGAGCAGCGCCCTCTATCTGGGCCATATCGAGGCTTGGGGTAGATAGGACCACTTCCACCATCATCAGGCAAAACTCCCAGGTGCTTTAGTGTCTCTAGGTTCAGTGATACTCAGATTTCAGTGGTTCAGGAGCCAAATTAGCCATCAGCAGAACCCAAAAGAGCCCCAGGAGTGTGAATTCATTGTTTCATTTACAATTTTTATATCTATATAATTATTCTCACAGCAAAATGGCTGACCAAGTAGTCTACAGTTGGTTAATAACATAGTAAAAGCCTCCTGATTGGTTAATAATTAAATCACCCAGAGTTTTAATATCATGCGCTACAAAGAGCCGCGGGAAACGCAGTAAAAAGCCACTTGCGGCTCCCCAGCCTCAGTCTGAGTGTCACTGCTCTAGTAGGTAGGAATCTGCACTGGGACTCGAGAGCTGGCCTCCTGTCCCGGCTCTGCCACTGACCTGCTGTGTGACCTTGAGCAAGTCACGTCCTCTCTTTGCGCTTCTGTTTCCTCTCCCACCCTTTGGCCTTCTTTTCTGTTTAGACTGTAAGTGCCTTGGGGCAGGGAGCCTATCTCACTATTACCTTTATGCAGTGCCTCGCACGATGGGGCCCTGATCTTGACTAAGGCTCCTAAGCACTGCTGTCAGACCAAGAACGATAACTAGCTAAAGGCCCGTACTGTCACAGGGGTAAGTCGGAAATTTGTGTGTATCAAAAAGCTGAAAATGGCTGAGGGCTTCAAACTTGGAGGGTAACAGACTGCGAATCCAAGTGCTGATTGGACTTGGTGCTAGTCTAAACACAAAGAGCTCTCAGCCAGGCTGGTGGCTGGTCTCATCACTGACTCAGCAGGGATTCTGCACTTGAGAGGGACACCCAGACAGATTGAGAGCCCTGCAATCTTTTTCTGTAGCTAATTAGTTGTCCCTGACTACTCTAGGTCTGGATTTGGGCTTTGAGAAGGCCCAGAAGAGATGCCTGTAAAGAAAGATCATAGACATGGAGCTGAGTGACAGTTTAGAATTTACAGACACGATTTCCCTTTGTCCATTTCTTGTTTTATTTATAAATGTCCTCTGAACTCTATGGTCCCAGGGATCCCTTAATAGCAGTAAATGGGCTCATAGCACTGCCCTGGGACAGGGTTTCAATTTAATATGTGGGCTGGCTGGCTTTTATTCCACTAAATCAGGGAGTTTCAACCTTTTTTCATTTGCAGACCCCTAAAAAATTTTGAATGGAGGTGTGGACTCCTTTGGAGAACTCTGACATAGTCTGCGGACCCTCAGGGGCCTGTGGGCCACAGGTTGAAACCCACTGCCCTAAATTAACTCTAGGGATGAAATGACCAGCCGGCTGCATTTGTTACTGGAAACTAAGTCTGGACTGAGGACTCACGCTGGTTGTTTTGGATCCCTGACTTGCCCCAGTCCCTTTAGCTGCTTCATAGGCAATGCAGAAAATATTAACTGGTCTTTTCTGAACCCAGACGTTCTGGGCCAAATTCACTGAAGTGGGTACAAAGCCACTGAAACCCATAGAGTTGCACCAGTATAAACGTGGTGTACGGGAGATCTGGATCAGGTCTCATGTAACTTAGGCTTGGCTTGTCTGTTGTGAAAAGGTTCTATCCACTGTAATGTTACGAGTGGCCACAGTCCCTAATGGGCTTAAGTAAACCTCACGATGAGTTATGCTATGTAAATATATCGTATTGTGCCAGTCTGGCATGCAACAGCACCCTGCAGCATAACACCCGCTCCCCGACCCCCGAGCCAAGGACAGGAAATCCAGTTCCCACCCCTGCCTGCTTTCACTATTTGACCATAACCAAACCCCCTCCTTTAAGAAGGGGAAGATCAAACACAGGGTATCCAGATCTGAGCAATATAACATGCCATGGCTGAAGCTGTACAAACTCTTATGTTCCACTGTTCTCCCAGGACAGGGCACCAAACAATGACCAGGGTGTGCAGAGGGGAAAAAACTTGCTTGTTGCTGTGAGGAGGAAGAAAGGGGTGGAGTGGGGAAGAGGAGGGAGAAATGTGGGTGACCAACTGCATGGGAAGGAGGAAGAATGAACTGGCCCTTTAAATTTTAAACAGATCCCTGTAGGGTTTTCCCTCCCTAGTTGTGTAAGGGTGGATTTATTTTCCATGCTCTGCTTTGCATTGTTCTGCTCCCCAGACAGAAAAGAACAACAAATCCTGAATCCGACTGCAGACCCTGCTTCCATAGTCCCGTCCTCTGGGATAGTTTTCTCTCTGTTGTTTTTTCCCAGCTGCTAGGCGCTTTCTTCTTCTTTTTTAAATAAAAACCAGTGGCAGGATTTTACTTTCTGCTAGTAATATCTCATCCTGCCTGATGATGAGCTGGAAAGATCTGGAGAGCTTCAGATAGACCCAGACTAGAGTTAAGGTCTGCACCACGAAGTTCTCATCTGGAGGGTAAGAAGAAATCCAGCGCCTGATCCAAAACCCTTTGAAATAAATAGGAATCTTTACACTGAATTTAATAGGCTTTGGATCAGGCCCATATGGAACAATGAGATGCATTATGGGGATTGTAACCTTCCTCTGAAGCATCTGGTCGGAGATGGTGTACCAGCTTAGATGGGTCTGCCCGTGATGGAGATGGGCCCAAGCCGCACACTTCAAACCCTGTCCATTTGGGTTTCAGAATAGCAGCCGTGTTAGTCTGTATCCGCAAAAAGAACAGGAGTACTTGTGGCACCTTAGAGACTGAGGCCACGTCTACACTACCCGCCGAATCGGTGGGTAGTGATCGATCTAGCAGGGATCGATTTATCGCGTCTAGTGTAGACATGATAAATCGATCCCCGATCACTCTGCTGTCGACTCCGGAACTCCACCAGGGTGAGAGGCGGAAGCGGAGTCGACAGGGGAGCAGTGGCCGTCGATCCCGCCCTGCGAGGACGCGAAGTAAGTGATTCTAAGTCGATCTAAGATACGTCGACTTCAGCTACTCTATTCTTGTATCTTAGCTCGATCCCCCCTCCAGTGTAGACCAGGCCTAACAAATTTATTTGAGCATACGCTTCCGTGGGCTACAGCCCACTTCATGGGATGAATAGAATGGAACATATAGTAAGAAAATATATATATACATACAGAGAAGGTGGAAGTTGCCATACAAACTGTAAGAGGCTAATTAATTAAGATGAGCTATTATATATGTATACATACAGAGAAGGTGGAAGTTGCCATACAAACTGTAAGAGGCTAATTAATTAAGATGAGCTATTAATACATATATATACATACAGAGAAGGTGGAAGTTGCCATACAAACTGTAAGAGGCTAATTAATTAAGATGAGCTATTAATAGGCTAATTAAGATGAGCTATTAATAGGCTAATTAATTAAGATGAGCTATTAATAGCTCATCTTAATTAATTAGCCTCTTACAGTTTGTATGGCAACTTCCACCTTCTCTGTATGTGTGTGTGTATATATATATATATATATATCTATATATATCTATATATATATATCTATATATCTTCTTACTACATGTTCCATTCTATGCATCCGATGAAGTGGGCTGTAGCCCACGAAAGCTTATGCTCAAATAAATGGGTTAGTCTCTAAGGTGCCAAAGTCCTCCTGTTCTTTTTGTCCATTTGGGCTCATCTCTGCTTCGGCAAGGTGATGGTCCCGTACCCCTAGCAACTGTAGGTGCTGCCCTCTTTTCCTTGCCAGGCCTGATAGTACTGCTGCTTTTGACAAGGGCATCATCACCGCCTGAGACGGACAGACGCCGGTCGCTCACGACGTTCTGTGCTCTCCCTGCCCCACCTTGGGAAGCACTTGCAGCTAGTGGGGTGTGGTTTGGATCATGCGTCTTTGATCAGTGCATCCCTTGTGTCGATGGTGAGCTGTCCAGTGCACGTGCCTTGCATGTATTGACCGTCCGGTGACTCTGGGTCGTGCTTGGTGGCGTTGCTAGCACCGTGCTACTGTCAGGGCCCTGTTTTACCACCTCCCTCTCAGACGTAAGTTTGTAGCATTGAGATGAAGATAAACTATTGTATTGTCCTTTCAGAATTCCTAATGGAAATAAAATGGAGATTCCTGTACGTCAGTGGCTCTGTTGGTGCTCTCTGATGTTCTCCAAGGAAAGGGGCCACGGACAGCAGACTCAGCAATCTAGCTGAAGAACAGTTGACAGCGTTGTTTTCATTTTTGATAGCATCAAAGATGCTTCCAGGCCTCCTCTAAGGGACTGATAAGGGGAGTGGAGATATTTCAGATACTTGTTCATCACTGAAGTGCAGCCACTTCTGGCACAGAAGACAGTACACAGCAGAGATTAACAGCATGGTGCATAATAGTGGGGACGGAGTGAGGGATTTGGGGCAAAGATGTTAGGGCAAACCTGCTTCTCTTGCACACACAAAAAAGATCTCCAGGTGATCTCCACACAGAATGGAAGTTTTTAAAGAACCTGGGGTCCCAAATGTTCTGTCACTGAAGTCAAAGGGAGTTTGAGCAGGCTTCCCCCATCGTAAAAGACAAGGAGGTTGCACAGGGGTCCGTGAGGCCAAAGTTTGTCCCCTGCAGAATCTGTATGCTAAATTATCATTCAGAAGAAGGTTGGAGGCGGGGGAACTCAGCTTGGCTCTCAGATCCCAGTATGAGTTTGTGGCCTTTAGAGAAAAAAAAATCTGTTTGTACTCATGATCTAAGCCCGTTTGATCAGGAGTCTCTGAGACAGGTCAGAAGCATGGAGCCTCTCAATGCCATTGTTACCCCTTCAGAGTAGAGGTGCTACATTAAGATATTTCGGTGTCTGAGTGCCAGGGCCCTCTGCTGGACAGAATTAGAACCACTTAATTGCATGTCATAAGCCTTATACTGCTGTAGCTAATGGCGCTTCTCCTTCAGCTCCCGTGGTAAGAGGCCTGTGCTTTTGAAGCAGAAAGATCCGAATTCAATGCCCTCTGCTGCTGTGACGTTCTGCATGGCCATGAGACAGAAGAAAGGCTGACTATGAAGTTCCTAGGAAGCAACAGACTTATTTCAAGATTGACAAAATAGCCGAAACTGGATAATGGGGTCCCTTTTGTGCTCAATCTCTTCCATGGAGTCTGGGAGAGGAATGCCCTTTTGCACCTCGAAAGCCTTGGGGTTGATGGCTGCACAGGGAGAGGCTGGACAGAGTGTGGAGTTTAACGCTGAAAGCCTAGTTGGTTTAATTTTGAATTGCTTTAGCAGAGCAAGTGAAGGAGCTGGGTTTGTCCATACAGGACAACAGCTAAGGCCTGGTCCACGTTATCTGTTCTGACACAGTAGCAAGAGCGCTGCTGCGGGTGTAGCTTATACCAATTCCCTGAGCGAAATCTGCTCTGCGGAAACAGGCCTTTTTGCCGATAAAAGTGCACCTACGCTGGGACTTGTGCTGGCCCAGCTCTGATGGTTGGGGGTGATTTTTTCCCCCTTTCCTAACTGCCACTGCTATGCTTCCGAAACGCTGACCTGAAGCCCAGGTTTCAGAGAAGGGCAGGTGATTCTGAAGGTCTGACTAAATGGATTTGAGTCCGATGCGAGCAAGAACCCCTAAGGGTGAAGCCCTGTTTTTCCCACGGACCAGAGAGCGCCACTCCCCTGCACGCGTGTGTGCACACACAGCCCTGCCACATGTATCAGCCCAGGTGGATGGAGCTAGGCTCAGTCCCCACTACTTGTGCATGCCTTGGCCTCTCTCCAGAGCCTGCAGCTATGGACTCCTGGCCTGGGCCCCATCCCTGTTTGCTAAGTACCTTTTCTCCCCTTTCCCTGATCTTTGTCAAACCCGCTTCTTTCATGGATCCCCTCTGGGTTGTCACTTCACCAGTGGGGTCTCCCATACGCCTCCTACCCAGCCATTGCCCTCTGGGTGGTTCTATTGTGAGAGTGTAAGCTCCTGGGGGCAGCGACCAGGTTGATCTCTCTGTGGGTGGTGGAAACTGCCAGGAATATAGAAATAACCATTTCAGCTCCTTGGGCACAATCTGCACCCTGGGTTTGGAGGTGAACGGCTCCGCTTCCCACCACGGATTCCTGGACCCAACCATTTGCCCGGAAGGAATGCTACATTTGCTAGCAGACTTACACACAAACAGTGGCTGGAGGAAACTTATTGAAGAGAACCTTATTTGTTCAGGCATACTGGGGAAAGAAGACCCTGTGATATAACAGCAGAGTCTGCTTAAAACAATGGGTTCATGACTGTGGAGGGGACGTGTGTATTTCAGAAGCTCCTCGGTGACTAACAGCAAGCAGGGAATCATCTAGCCCTACACATCTCAGTATGAGAGTCTGCCCGTGTTCTCACACAATGTCTGCCCTCTGCCACACAGAACCTCAGGCCTGCTTGGGATTGAGCTGAATGTCACCCCTTAGCGGCGGCAGCCTACAAAAGGGTACAAGCCTTAATATTATTGCACAAGAAGAAGTTTGGATTGCTACTAATGATTTTCTGTGCACCATCATTTGCAGCAGCGAGTTGGGCGGTGTTCAAATTTCGTGACTACACCGCTGTCTAAAACACACACGGTGCTTTTGAAGCCTTGTGGAAATCTGTCCAGTTCCAATACCGGGTCCTGCCACATTAGCGAGAGAGTTCAGCATACAGGGCAGGAGAGCTGCAGTACTGGACCCAGCAGTACCTTGGGTTTCTGTTCAGTAACCCAGCGGCCCAACTCTGAGGCACATTACCAACGGGCTGCACCTAAATCTCCAGCAAACCTTTTTCAGAAAGTGCCAGGCAATTGAATAAGCACAAAGGGCCCCAATTATCCATTATAACTAGTTCCTAGTGGTGCATGGCACAGACACTCAATGAGTTACTGATTAAAGGCTGGATGAGAATGGACCAGGGCCTAGTAGCCTTCCCCATGCTTTCTGAGGGGTTTTCTACCCTGCTGGCTTTTGCTGGTTAAAGTGTAACTAAAGGACAGTTCACACAGTGGATTTTTTTAAAAGGAGCAATCTTCACAGGAACCCTCTCTTAAAAGGTTTCATTTGCCTCTCATGAGCTGGAAGGAGAACATTTGTGGGGCACCAAACACAGAGGTGCACTCTGATTACATTGCACTTGTGTCGTCCCGTGAACGGGAGCATCCACTTTTTGTGGCAAAGCACTGAGATTAGGGGTATGCAAATACTTGCATGTAACAGAGTAATTGACATCTATGGGACTGTTCCCAGGAGTACAGACCACATTTCAGAATAAGGGGTCCAGGATCAGGCTCTGGGTTAGTGACAGAGCCAGGACTAGGGAGCCAAGGAGTCCTGCCACCCCTAGACCACACTCCCTCTACTTGTGTTGAAGTCAGCACCACAACTACCATTGACTTTAATGGGAGCAGGTTTGAGCCACTCCGACGATTCATGGGTTTGGAGAAAAGATTAAGCAGAATTATCTAAAACACTTAGAAGAACAACAACTGGGAGGGGGGGGGACCGTGAACAGTGAAAACCTAACTCACTTTCCCACATACTTTCTATGCGAAAGAAACACTACCCAAGATGACAGGTTTCAGAGTAGCAGCCGTGTTAGTCTGTATCCGTAAAAAGAACAGGAGGACTTGTGGCACCTTAGAGACTAACCAATTTATTTGAGCATGAGCTTTCGTGAGCTACAGCTCACTTCATCAGAAAGCTCACGAAAGCTCATGCTCAAATAAATTGGTTAGTCTCTAAGGTGCCACAAGTCCTCCTTTTCTTTTTGCGAATACAGACTAACACGGCTGTTCCTCTGATACCCAAGGTTTGACACTGCCAGTGTAGAGGCAGTCACCTTCCCCCATGTCCACTAGGGGGCGCAACACAGTCAGGTTTGGAAAGAGTCCTGATGAAAAAGGTCTATTGTGTCTAGAACTAACTTTAATAGTGAAACCAAAGTGCTGCAGAGAATGAAGATGTAATTGGTTTGTGTCCCTCTAGCAGGTTACTCTGGCCTCTTGCCTGGTTCCTGTTTTCCTTCTGGTCCAGCTCCATCCAGCAGGCCAACTTGCAGCATGCCAGGGCTCCAGGAATGACGGGCGTGAATTCTGCCTGCCTCGCCACCTCTCCACGCAATGTTGTGGGGGCCACAGCATGGCCCACTAGCTGGCTGGGTTAGCAACATAAGCGCAGCCCCAGGGCTGACCTCTTCTTAAAACAGAAGGGTGAGGCCAAAGTTTTGATTTATGTATCCTGTGGGCATTTTGGTACAGTGCCTAGCACAATGGGGCCCTGATCCCCTTGGCACTAGTCTGCCAGCTCGGAGGCTTTTAATGCTGGGGAACAGGAGCAACGAGCAATTTCCATTCAGCTATCAGGAGCGGTGCCGGGCTGAGCAAATAAGACAGCTGCAAATTGGGCTCCGTTTGTGGGATCCTGGCCCAGCAGTGATCCTTTGCCACATAAACATCCTACGACCCTGTCACACCTCCTCTGCCATGGGAGGTGGTCAGGAGCTGAGGGAGCAGGATCTCTGCAGGGATCCCCACATTCCGGTGGCAATGGGGTTTGTACAAGCTCCCAGGTGGACACAGACGAGACCATGATTCTGCCCTCCTACCCGTTTGCAAGAGGCAGCTGTGATGGAGAAGGGTTTGCCACTCAGCCATGCTGTTCTCCAGGTTCCTGACACCCCCTTTCCTTGCCCTGCCAGCATGGCTCCAATGGAGCTGCACTATCAGGCCACCCCTGGTCCCGGCTGCTCCCAGGACACCCCTTCCTGCGGAGAGGAGGGCAGGGGAGACATCCTGCCACTATTCCTTTTTCCAGGGGATCTGCATAGAGCTGCAGCAGGGGTGACATGTGGCCCACCCCTGCTCCATCACCTTCCTGCGCTGCAGATCATGACCTTGAAGGGAACCCTTCACCGGATCCTGGGAGCAGGGGGATGGATTACACAAAAGATTCCCCAGTGACAGTGAATTCCATAACGTTATCAGGCCTTTTAAGTCACCAGAATGGGGAGGCTGTAGCAGGGGATGGAACCCGGGGCCTCTCCTTCTTCTTCCCTATCCCACTTCTAGTCATCTACCCTGGCCTCCTCTAGGTCCTTTAGCCATGTATGCAAGACCCTCTTCCTTTGTATCTCTCCCAACCTGGACGAGCCTTCCTCTGCCCCCCACCAGTTCATTGATGCTACCCTTTTCCAGTCTCAGCTCACAGCATTTCAGCCAGGGCGGCCCATGAGAATTTCCCTGTTCACTTCGAGGGGAAGTTCAAGCCCAGAGGGAACTTGCGTACCCACCAATCAACCAAAAAAGGAATAAAATAAAGTTTTATTCTAATGATTGCCGTCAATGGGCACTTGCTGAAGGCCTCCTTGTTAGGTGCCTTTGTATGGATTTAGGAGCCCAAATTCAGACACCTTTTTTCAAAACCTTGGCCATGATTTTTGTGTCTCTTAGCTACAGACATTGTTATTACTTGTCTTGTAGGAACACCTATGAGTGCCAGCCACCCCATTGTGCAAGGCGCTGTACAAACACAGAACAAAAAGACAGTCCCCCACCCCCAAAGAACTCACAGTCTAAGTCAATTATTGAGCTATTAGTATTAGTAATATTCATTTGCATTATGGTAATACCCAGCAGCAGCATTCCAGACTGGGAGGGGGGGTGGCGGAGGTGTATAATTATATAGCAAAAGCTAGTCCAGGCCCTGAAAAGCTGACTGTGTATGTATTAAAAAAGCCTTTTAAAAAGTCACAAACAGAGTTCATTGCTGATTAAAAGCGGGGGAGGAGAGGGGGACATCGTGAAACTGTCAATGTCCCTGGTTCTTCCCTGCACTTGAAACCTTGGCAGAAAAACGTCATCAGCGTTTCCAAATCTGAAAAGTCGATTGCTTTCTCAGCTGCCTCTCCAGGCACTGAAATCAATAGAAGACAGGAACCTAAGACCTCAGGCCTTTTGATTGTTTTTATGTTTAGGGGAAATCCACCCCATGAAAACAAGCAAAAGGCCTTAAAATATGTAAATTCTTGCCCTGTCTTCCTGAAAGGCTCAGAGAGAAGTTAGAACAAAACAAAACCGACAAGGGGCTGGGTAGTAGATCTTTAAAAAGCGTTATATCTGTAGCCAAAGCAGATCCAAAAGATGTAACCTGTGAATACACTGGAAAATAAAAGGCAAACTGGGGACTCATCGTTACCGTATTTCCTCTCTCCTCATTTTCTTTTTCTGGTAAAATTACCCAAGCCATGTTCCCAGACTTTCCTTCAGAGACCACCCCCTCATTTCAAGAAACCACGCCTCTCAGGGAAAGTTTATTTGACTGCAAGAGAACAAAATAAAGGGAGGGCGACATTTAAGCCCCAAAATAATAATCGAAAAGAGAAGGGATGAGGACTTGCCTCTATGTTGCAAGGCAAGTGGGCCGCTTTGGCGTCTGACCAAGAGATGCCTTCGGATTCCGTGCGGCGGGGAGATGTCGGTGTGGCGGCTGGGTGCAGGGGATGAAGTCGGATTGGAAAGGGGGCCACTTCCTTTCACCGAGCTGGAGCGGCCGCTGCCGCGGGGAAAGTGCCACTGAAGTTTGCCGCTTGCTTTCCCACCCCAAAACGTCGGGCTGCCTGGGAATCGCCTCGGAACCGGGGGAAAGGGATCAAGCCGCGATCCGGGGCTTTGGGGAAGGGCGCGTTTGCAACCCCCCCACACCCCCCCCGGGACTTGCCGTGGGAAGTGGAAGTTGCCTCCGAGTTTGCAGCGCCGCGGGGACCCTGGATGGCGGAGGGCGGCGTGCGGGGGCCGGACTGCTCGCCGGAGCGGGCTTAGGGCTGGAGCAGAGGGGAGGAGAGGAAGGGGGGCGGCCGAGAGAGAAGGGGGGGCGGTGGGTGGGTGGGCTGAGCGCGGCGTGTATATACAATGGCGGAGGGGGAGGCCGAGGGGACAGCTCCCCTCTGCCGGAGCGTCTCCTTCAAGCGGCTGGAGCGGTGGCTGGAGGCAGCGGCCGAGGGGGAAGGAGCCCGGCCGCCGGCTTGCCAGTGCCAGCCCCCCGGCGCCAGGGCGCAGCAGCCGCCGCCGCAGGAGCGGGACTCGCCGCAGCGCCGCCGGCGATCGCCCTCCAGAGCCGCCTCCAGCGGCCTCTCCCGGAAAGTTTCCAAGCTCGCGGCCGCCGCCGCCTGCCCCTCCCCGGAGCTCCGGGGCAGAGCCCTGCGGAGCCTGTCCCCGTCCGTCCGCCAGCTCTCGCAGCGCTTCGACGCCGCCGCCGGGGCCGCTCCCCCGCCCGCCCCCCGCAGCTCCCAGAGCGAGGAGGAGCCGGACGAGGACGGGGCCACCTGCTGCCCGCCCCAGCCGGGGAAGAGGGAGGCTCGGCCGCCGCCCGATGAGGAGGGCGGGGGGCCGCAGCGCAGCCAGGGGCTGAGCGAGCCCCCCAAGGCCGGGGAGGCCGGACTGGAGCCGGGGGGGCTCTGGCCCAGCGTCACCGAGATGCGCAAACTCTTCGGGGAGAGCTTTCGGCGGCCGCCCCCCGGCCGGGCCCCGGAGGAGGAAGGTGGGGCCCGCTCCCCGCACGGCGGGGCCGGCAGCTCGGCCGCCGCGGGGACGGGGCTCGGGGCGCCCCGGCCGGGCACGGACAGCCCCCCGCTTCCCAGCAGCGGCCCCGCTCCGGCCAGGAGGGAGGAGGAGCGGCCCCGCGCCGGCCCCAAGCCGCCGCCTCCCCCGCCGCCGCCCCGCAGCTGCGTGCCCTACCCCGGCCTGCTGCGAGCGCACCCGCTGCCCTGCGCTCCGGCCGGTGGGGAGGCCCGGCGGCAGCCGCAGCACCAGCCGGCTTGGGATAGTTTACATTCCTGGCATAGTTCTTCCAGACCACAGGCTGCCCCCCCGCCCTCCACCGCCTCCTCTGCTGCCTGCAGCCCCCTCCCAGAAGGGAGCTCCCGCTGCCAGGACTTGCTGCCCGCTCACGGCTTGCCCTTCCCTGGCAGCACCAACAGCAAGCATGGCCCCTCCGGGGGCAGGCCCAGGTCCCTGGAGCGGTCCTCGGGGAGCGAGGAGGAAGGGAACCAGCTGGTGACCCCCAGGAAACGCTCCGTCCGGAAGAAAAAGAAAGACCTGGGCCTTTGGGACCATGAGTCCGACAGCGACGGGCTAGCGGGAATGGAGGCCGGGCCAGGGCGGCCCCCGTGGACTCATGAGGTCCTGGCACACCTGCCTCTTCCTGCGAACGATGAAGCCAAGCCGCCCTCGGTGGCAAAGAGGCTGGCAGCGGCAGATTGCAACAGTGGGAACACCTTTGCCGCCCTGCTGGGGGAAGCCAAGGCAGCGGGCAGCGTCGAAGGGCACCGGCAGTTCGTGAGGGGCATGTCAGAAGGCGTATCTGCTGCTCACTTCCCGCTGGCCGCAGCGCCACCCATACCCCTGGTCTCCCGCGTCTCCAAAGTGAACATCCCGCCTTTCGGGCTGAGCCCGTGCGGGTCGAGAAGCAGCAGCAGGTACTCGAGCACCGAGACCCTGAAGGAAGAGGACCACTTTGGGCCCTGCTGGCCCAGCCAAAGCCGGAGCTTCCAGGGGGGCCTTGGCATGTACAGATCCCCCAGCTTCGGCCACAGCGACAGCCTCTCCAGGCTGCAGCAGCAGGTCCGGGTGCGTCCTAAACTGCCCATGGGCATCGGCAAAGTGAAACAGGACCCTTCCAGTGAGATTCTGCTCCACTGTGGACCTGAGGCCGAGCAAGCCAAGGACAGGAAGTCCATGTCCAATCCTGACATAGCCACTGAGACGCTGACTCTCCTCAGCTTCCTAAAATCGGATCTCTCCGAGCTGAAGGTGAGGAAGAAAGGTGGCGGGGTCAGTGACCAAGAGGAAAGGGCCTTCAGCAGTGGCAGGAGTGAGAACTACCAGAGCCCACCTGGGCACCAGCTGGGAGGCAGAGGCCGAAGCGTGGCACAAACCCCGAATCGGTGGGCGCTAGGTGGCCGCCCAACTCTCAAAGACCTCACCGCGACCTTACGCCGGGCCAAGTCCTTCACCTATTCTGACAAACCGACGCCACGCAGGCTCCTCCTCCAGAGCTCCAGGAAGCAAAGCTCCTCAGAGCTTCTCCTGGCCAGCAGCAGTAGTGACCATGACAGCGTGGTTTCAGATGGTGATGCTGGTCAGAGAGGGGATGTCGATGGGCTCCCGGTCGTCATCCAGGATCAGTATATTCAGGAAGCACGGCAAGTCTTTGAGAAGATAAGTCGGATCGGCTCCCAGCACGACTACGTCTTTGTGTCCGATCAGAAAGACAGCGCAGGTGTGAAGTGTGGCGAGGAGTTTACAGAGAACCAGAAGGAAGCTGATGTGGCCCTTCTGGGGAGCAAAGAGCATGAGCAGTGTCTGAAGAAAGCAGAGTCTGAAGAAAACCTCTACTGTGAGAAGTCCATGGAGGAGCTCTCGGGTCATGAGTCTAGCATGACCGATGAAGGCATCGTGACGGAGCCTGAGGTGGGTCCCACCAACGCTGCTTATGGGGAACTCTGTGAGACTGTCGCGGCTTGGACACCAGCCAACACCAGCCTAGGGGAGGGCGACACTGATCGAGTGAACAGTAAAGAGATTCTTCTTCCTGGGCTCACAGCGAGAATGAACCACGAGGGTGCTGCTGTTGATGATGCCCTTCCTGGTAAAGCCATGGCCCAAGGGTCCTTAGAGGCACCTTCCACCCCAAGCACCCTGCGGCGCCGCAGGAAGTTTCCCTCTGTTGGCAACAACTGGTCCGATTCCAGCAACGGGGAATCCAATGGCGAAGCCTACAGATCCCTAAGTGACCCCATGCCCCACAGGAGGTGTTCGATCACAGAAGAGACTGAGAACTTCTCAGTGGACAGTAATCTCCTAGGGTCCCTGAATTCCAAGGCCGGTGTCCCGGAGTCTTTGGCCATGGCTCTGTCCGAGTGCACCGGCAGCGCTGCCAGCGACCTGTCAGTCTGTAGCGATGGAGTCAAGGATTACAGCACGGTGATCCAGAACATTGTTAGCCAGCCTGGTGCCATGGACAAGGTGATCGACGAGAGGGGAAATGGTAAGACAGTCAAGAAGAAATCGTTCAGTGACCCCAGCCGTCGCAGTGAGTTGGCCAGCGCAGGCTTTGAGGGCCCCAGTGAGCCAATCAGTGAGATGGACCAGACCATTCCGCCTTCCAGCAGCGAACCCATCCTCTCCGAGCAAAGGGACGAGGTGGGAGAGCTGGAGGAGCTGGGCCAGGAGGTTGAGAAGCTGCGCTCTCAGTCTGAGCACATCCTACCTGCAAAAGTAGGAGGCCACAATGCAGGAGAGGCAGCTCAAAGCTATAGCTTTGACCCCAAGCTGGCGGAAGTCCTGTCCCCCAGGATCATCAGGCGCAGTTCCAAGAAGCGCACCAACCGGGTGACTCACCAGGAGAATCACGAGACTGCATCCTCTGCCACAACTCCTGCTAGTACCCTGAGTAGGTCCAGGCCTGCATCCAAGCATGTCCGGCACGCCAGCGAGCCTGCTGCCTTCCTCCCCATCTCAGCACCTGAGCCTCATGGGTCGCTCAGTCAAAACGTCCATGTAACTGTGCCAGAATCTTCACCTCTCCCCATCAAATCCTACCCTGTCCTCCAAGCTCCATCCTTGGAGGATGTCACCAAGCAATACATGTTGACTCTTAACTCCGGGGACTTGTCTTCTGGTGGCACTGTGGATATGCCCAGGTCTTCGCCTGCTACACCGACTATTTCAGAGCCCAAGCTGCTGAGATGTCCAAAGCAGCAAGAGGAACACAGCCCTAGCAGCACCAAGAGCAAGCCTCAAGTGGTAAGTGCTCCTGGTTTTAAGATGCTCTAGCCTAGGACCTGATCCAAAACCCAGTGAAGAAAATGGGGGTTTTTTTGTGAACTTTGGATCTGGCTCTTGGGGGGCCAGATTCGCCTTTCATTAACACTGTTGTAAATCTGGAGGAACTCCATTGACTTCAATGAAGTTACTCCAGACAAGTGAGATCAGAATCCGGCCCTTAACTTAATTCACTGCCATCCAAGCCCTTCCACAGGGCAAGCTCCCATTGATGTGAATGTCTGAATTCGGACTCAGTAATATTGTGTAAAAGACACAGGTTCTGGACCTATTTTAGTGGATGACTGTTTTCTTGCTTTCAAATTCAGTCCTACTGTTTTGTCTCTCTGGGATGCTACATAAGGCCTCCGTAAATTGTTGTTCTCTTGGCTGGCGGTGGTTTTTTTTTTTTTTTTGCCTTGAATGTTGAACAAAAGTTGCCTTTTTCTAGTCTATAGGGAACTTACATAGCTTTTTCCTTTCATTGTCATCCCTGGTATTCTGCCCATTGTACTGTAGCTCAAGAACACACCCATTGTTTTAAATATATACAGAAATTCCTACCTATGGGAATCCTGTTTAACTGGAATAAATGCAGCTATTCCCCCACTACAGCTGAGATTCTGTTTGCCAGTTGTTGATCGTTTGTGACATTGCTAAGGGCTTCAGAAATAAACCAGACTTTTTTTTTTTAAGTATCAAAATCAGGGAAAACTAAAAAAAAACAAAAAAAAGTTTGTTGCATATTAATGATAACCAAGGTCAGCATCCTGTTCCCATAGTAATTAAGGAGGATTTTGCCTTTGGCATTAGTGAAAATAGAACCAGGGCCCAATGTTACTACCAGACTGCAAATTGGTATTCAGGGAAGTTGATTTCTAGCTACAAACCACATCCCTATATTCTGGTCTTTTTGTTCCCTTCCTGGTTGAAATCTCTGTCGGGGTGGAATTATATGTGAAATACCCATTGCTCCGATCTGTTTGATTGAAATATTGAGTAGATTAAGATGTCTCTGATGTGCTGGAGAATTACATTGAGTGCAGAATAATTTTTCCAGTTGGCATAGGAGAATTTGGAGAAGACTGCCAATCTATCTTGAATCATGTGGCTTTCTGATGGGAGCAAGGGGCTGAGAAATCTCAATAGCAGTGTCTTCTGAAAGGTGCTTTGAAACAGTTCAATAGTATTAAAACAGAATCCGCATTGTGGGCGAGATTTGCAGTCGACTTGATCTAAAGTTCCCTTGAAGTAGCATAGGCGAGTTTTGTTTCTTCTTTCACCCCTGTAATCGGAAACGATCATTGTGGCTGGTGCTGCGGTCTGACTGGTGTCACTTTTTACCTAGTAAAATTTCTTCTTTTGGGGAGGGGAGCAGGGGTGTGTGTGTGCTTTTGCATGTTTTGTTTACGAGAGCTGAATGCCATGTTCACCAGAGCATAAACTATCTACTAAATTGGCAACAACTGTCCTCTTGCTCCATTGTATTTGCCCCTAGTTATGTGTTTTTCTTTTGAACTTTTCTTTCAGTGGTTTTCTTGCAAAGGCGTTTGGGTTTTATTTGTGTAATGTGCTACTAGAATTGTGAGAGCCTGACCATGCCTTACTGATTTATGGGATCTTTACTCATCAGTGTGGAGCGACTGCTACTGATGTAATGCTTTCACTTTTACCTTTGGCGTCTTCCCTCCGCCAATCCCCCCATTTGTTTGCTTTTCTCTACCTGTTGTCTCTCATCAAATGCTTCGGTTGCAGGCCCTGTGGGGCAGAGACTGCCTTTGTAAAGAGGCTGTGATCCCTTGATTGGGGCCTCCTTAAATAACAGTCCAGTGGAAGGGCTACACAATCCGGCCTTGTGATGACTGTCTCAGTCTGAAACAATGGGCAGGCTGGAAATCCCACCTCCTGTGTCTAATGGGCAATTCATTTGCCCATGCTGTCAGTAGTTGAACAGCTCCTCGTTGCTAACCGTGGGCTGGCTCCGTGGCTGGTGGAAATGGGCGTGAATCTATCCCTATTGAGATGTTCATAACTGAGGAGGGGGGAAGGGAACAGTCTTGTCACGTCGGAAAGCTTTTGGAGGAGAAGAGTTTACCACTGTTCTGGTGTGTGATTTATGGATGCTGGTGGATTGCCTAGTCCCACGCTGAAAAATTAGCAGCAGCCAAGCAAGAAGTGACCGGCAGCCAAGCTGCTGGACTGGGACAGATAGTTGTCTGTAGCCCTGAAAGGTCATTGCTAGGGAATGAGTTTCTCCTTGATACAGTGAGGAGCGGACACTTCTCTCTGTCCGAGTCACCTGACTGGGAAGATCCAAGGAGTTTTAAGTCTTGTCAGATGTTTCGGTTTTGTTTGATCTTGGCAAGTGCGGCGTGGTTTGTTCTGTTTCTTTGGCAATGGATGGAAAGGAGCAGGCTGGTATCTGCACTAACTGGAGCAGTCTGTTTTTCTGAAAGAGACTGAGGGAGCTGGCACTCCCTTGATTAGTGTCTCATTGAATGAAGTGTGTGTGCACAGGTGCGCATAGAAGAGAGAAGGATGGATGGGTGACTAGAGAGGATTCTTACTGGATATTAATTTTTACTTGAGTTGGGCTCAAATCAAAACCCCAGATCCAAACAACCCTCAACTTCGGGCAAATCCAGACCCAGATCTGGACTTTTTCTGTGACCCACCTTGCAATAATGGGCCAAACCAAATCACCCCAGCTCCAAACACCCTTGTGCCTTAGAAAAATTTGGATCTTGATAAAGATCCAGATTTGCATCTGGCCCTACAGTGAGTCTGGACCAAAACAGCCCTGATCTTTGTATCTTGGGCCTTCCTCTGAGTTTTACCAACAGCTGTGTTCAGTCATTTTGAGTTTTGTTTTAGGGACAAGTTTGCCTTGAGCTGAATCAGAAGGAACTCTCCATCCTTCCCCCCTCCTCCCAGCTGCGTTCTCCTTTACCCTGTGTGTTCTTCTGTATTAAACTCTTGCCACTTTTCTTTGCCAGGACTCATTCCAAATTATATATATATGTTGGTCTGATTCCTAGAGATTGTTTATGATAAAGGACCTGCAAGGGGGAGTAGCCCAGGCAGCTACAAACAACGGTCTGAAACAAATGATCTTATCTCCAAGTACTGTCTGGAGATTTCAGATTGGAGAGGTTTGTTTTGGGATTGAACCTCGAGGTTGAGCTGAATAGAAAAGGATTCCTTCACTCTCTCCTGGAGACGGCACATTTGACAGTATCCATACCTAGTTATTACCAGCTGGATCCTGCTAGGTGCTGAGTACCTACGGTGCCCTGTGAAGTCAGTGGGAGTTAAGGGCACCATGCCCAGCAATGCAATCCTCTTTTTTCATAATATTATCCAGAGATCAGGACAAAAACCCTGTTCCAGCTGTTTGTGCTGGATGTCCCAGCTGCTTATAATAAATTCTAAGATGGGTCATTTACGGGTGTCTTTATAAGGAGCCGTAGTGACTTTAGAGACGAGTAAAGGAGCCACAAGGAGTGAATTCGGGCCAAGGTCCACAAGGTATTTAGACTCCTAACTTCCTTGGAGCCTAAATACCTTTGTGGATCTGGGCCATAGTTTCCAACCCTTTGAATGGCTAACAATAATAGTACTTATTTTCTAAGCACTGGACAGTCTTTGAACCCAGTCCATTGTTCCTTGGGTCCCCAGGCCTGCGACTGACCTCAGTATGCAGGATTGGGCCCTGAGACTAATTAAGCCTCACAACACTGCTGTGAGGTTGGCAGGGGGAGTTTTATTATCCCCATTTTATAGATGGGAAAACTGAGATTTGTTCAAGGCCGTAGAGGGAGTCCAATGCCAGCACCCAATTGAGAGCGCAAGGATTCCTAGTGCCCCGGTCTGTGCTCCAGCCAATGGAGTCTCATCTTCTGTCTCCCATCTCCCCGACCAGTGGTGGTGCTTTTCCAGCAATTGTTGCTTTTAACTTCACCCCTCCTGGGCCCTGTTGCCCGATTGCTTGTGTGCTATGCCCAGGGTCAAAGCACCCCGGCAATGAGAGCAATTTGCATCAGATCTGCAGTGTGGCTCTGCTGCCGTCTCTTGCCCCAAACTCAGTGCGGTGCTCAGACAGGCTCTGCGCCTATCTGGCAAAGTGGGTGCAGGCAGGAGGGAAGTAGAGTGGAGCCAAGGGGCTGCTTTAAGGCTACATGAAACAGTCAGGGGCTGCTTTAAGGGCTCTCCATGCCCCCTCCCATGTCATCTGCGGGACAGTGGTGTGGGGGAACTTGGTGTTCTCTATAGTGATGCCGGACATGAGAAGAGGTGGTGAAAGGGTGAGCTGGGCCTTTAAGGGGATCAAGTCCCTGCTCTGGCCTGGGCCTAGAAATAAAAGGCAGGTCCTTTTTCCTAGTAGGTAGGAGATTTGGTATCTGAGCGACATTCTGGGGCCAGTGTGCCAAGAGGGAGCTAGGAATGGGCCACACGAGGGGCTCAGTAAAAAGGGTCCAGGAGTCAGGCCAAAGTCAGAATGTGGCCAGGAGAAAAGTGAAGCAGAGTGGGGGTTTATGGTGTAGGTTCCCTGGGCCAGAGATTGGGGTAGAGGGCGAGCTTGGCTCTCCCTCTCGTGCCACCAGTAGGAAGTGGAAAACCCCACAAGCCAGGGTAGGAAGCTGTGGCCTTGGGAGGCCAGTGTCTATGATGTCGGTGAGACCGATACTGGAACACTGTGGACAGTTCTGGGGTGCACATCGTGAAAAGGATGTTGGAAAATTTGGAAAGGGTGCTGCAAAGAGCCCTGGGAGTCATGCCAAGGCTGGAAAAAATGCCTCGCAGTGAGAGACATATGAATCTTAAAAAGAAGATGGAGAGGTGGCTTGTTTAGTGTATCAGCACCTTCATGGGGAGAAAATACCAGCTAGCAAAGGGCTCTTCAGTCTAGCGGAGAAAGGCAGATCAAGAACCAATGGCTAGAAGCTGAAGCCAGACAAATTCAGGGCAGTAATAAAGTGCAA